TACATAGATGGGGGTTCTCCATTTCTTTTTTTTTTTTTTTTTTTTCCAGTTTTTGGCCAGCGCTGGGTTTGAACTCACCACCTTAGGCATGTGGGGCCAGCACCTTACTCCTTTGAGCCACAGGCGCCACCCCAGGGATTCTTTTTTTCTTTGAGACAGTGTCTTACTGTTTCACCCTTGGTAGATTGCTGTGACATCACAGCTCACAGCAACTTCAAACTCTTAGGCATACGCAATTCTCTTGCCTTAGCCTCCCAAGTAGCTGGGACTACAGGTGCCCACAAATGCGTGGCTAGTTTTTTCTTGTAGTTGTCGTTGTTTTGTAGACCCAGGTCACATTCAAACTTGCTTAACCCTGGTGTATGTGGCCAGCACCCTAGCCATTGAGCTACAGATGCTGAGCCCATAGATTGGGATTTTATCTGGATAATTTGCTAATTTTGAATAATAGACCTACTGATCCAAACATCTTGTGACAAATTTTCAAAAAGTCTTCTCAGGCTAGGTGCCTGTAGCTCAAGTGGCTAGGGTGCCAGCCGCATACACCCGAGCTGGTGGGTTCGAATCCAGCCAGGGCCTGCCAAACGATAATGACAACTACAACCAAAAAATTAGCTGGGCGTTGTGGTGGGTGCCTGTAGTCCCAGCTACTTGGGAGGCTGAGGCAAGAGAATTGCTGAAGCCCAAGAGTTTGAGGTTGCTATGCGCTGTGACACCACAGCACTCTATCCAGGGCAACAGCTTGAGACTCCGTCTCAAAACAAAAACAAAACCAACAAAGTCTTCTCAGCTTTAAGAAGGTTTTGGTTTTGATTTTTGTGATAGGTGTGAAAGTGTGATTCTACTGATCACTTGCCCATCCACACATATAAATCAAGAAAGTCATAATTTTAGATCTATATACTTTACTTGAGGGGAGGAACTACCTTAACTGTAACTCATGTCCAGATATATACCATCTTAACAAGCTCTAGTTTCAGTTTTCTTTAAGTATAATTGCTATCTGATAAACAGAATATAGTTATACAGGATAAAAATAATTTTTATCTTTTTAAAATGATAGTTGTATGACTACAGAAAGAATATTTATTCTCAGTAGTTTGTTGTATTTTATTCCCATTACTCAGTAATCTCAGTAAAATATTTCCTTTCAAGAGCTACTGCTTTGGTTCTTGTAGTATAATGGCCAGCTGTCTTCTTTAATTAAGACTTTAGGATACCCTTTGAAGTTTTCTGGTATGCCCGATTGAGTCCTTACTGCCTTCTCTCTGTGTGTCACTTTAGTTTGGTTGTGCATGTATTTCCCTTACTGTCAGATGCCAAAGCAAGCATGTTGTGTAGACATAAAGTTGGAGCAAATAAATGGGTATGGATTGACATTTTGACCTTACAGATTTAAACTGAGAATAGCTGTGACTTAGAGGTCAGAACCATTTGCCTGAGTAGTTAAACTATTTAAGCGTTAAATTTAATTGATCAAAATTGATGAATGTTTCATCCAGAAGAGTTGGGCACTTCATTCAGGGGTAATGGTTGCCAAGAAGTACTTGGGTTTTTTTAATTATGATGAGCTGTATTGAGACATGTCATTTTATCTGTGTAGCATGCTTGTATAGCATGTGTTTGCTACCTGTGAAGACAAAATTATTCTGGCAATTTGATTTCAGATAATTGCCTTTTTATAATCAACCCTTCTGGACAGCCTAGGTGATGCTTAAGAATTATAGGAAAATATGAATGCTTTGTTGGAGCTTCTTAGAACTGTGCTATTTTTAACTCTTTCTCCAGCCCAGCAGTAATCAGTCTAGGTTTTTAAGATTTAAAACAAAAAACAACTTCAAGCTCAATAAAACTTTGTCTATAAAATAATTCTTTTTTTTTTTTTTCTTTTGCAGAAATGGAATCTGTTTGGAATTTGCAGAAGCAAGGTAAGAATGGTTAGGTTATTTGAATTGTTAATAGTAGTCAGTAATCACAGTATGTTATTTTTGGGTGAGAATAACAGATTAGTGACCTGCCAAATAGTTAGACTTTGTATTTTGAATTATTCAATAATTGCAGTCAAAAATCACTAGCTACCATATTAGGACTGCTGAGGAGTGGGTGGGGGTAATAGTGTTAAGTAAAGAGCATATATGAAAGTCCTCTTCTGCTGGATGAAGAGTTTGAATGGTTTTTCCTTCCCTGACTATGAAAGTAAGGTAAAACAGTAAATTGAGTTTTTTGGTTTGTTTGTTTGTTTTGGGTTCTTTTTTGGGGGGGGGGGTTGTTTGAGACAGAGTCTCAGACTGTCACCCTTGGTGTAGAGTTCTATGGCGTCATCATAGCTCACAGCAACCTCTTAACTATTTGGCTCAAGCAATCCACTTGCCTTGGTTTTTCTATTTTTAGTAGAGACGGGTCTTGCTCTTGTTCAGAGCTGGTCTTGAGCTCAAGGAATCTACCTACCTTGACCTCTCAGAGTGCTAGGATTAGAGGTGTGAGCCATGGCACCCAGCCATCATAAGAGTTTTTAATCTAGGAAACCAACAGGATTGTTTCCACTTTTAGTCAGTCTTTATATTTGTGTGGTAGGCAAGGGATAACCTAATATTTTTCTCAGTTTAGAAAAATATGGGCTGTATAGAAAACTTATCTGGGCTGTATATTTTCTCTGAAAAAATAATTAGAAATTAATTGGTTATACTAATTGTGTGCCTTCTTACCAAATATATTAGAATATGTTTGTTGTGGAATACATGAAACGAGAATTTTGGTTGGAGAACCAGTTGCTGACTAATAGATTTGGATTTTCAGAGCATATACTTCAACCTCAATTGTATCCTACCCTTATTTTATTATGCTAGTTAATGTTTGTGAAATTCCTAGACTTTCAGGTCTTGAAGCACATTAGAAATTCTCTTCTATCTTACTTATTATGAAACTGAGGCCTAGAGAAATAAGCTAGAAATATAAGCTAGAAAGTGGTACGACTAAAGGTTACAGTGTTGATTCCCCTGATACCCCAACATGCTCTTTTGCCCTCCCCCTTGTTATAGGTCAGGGTTTTTGTAATGGCAGCTATGCAAGCTTTAAATTATTCTGAGTTACTTTCTTTTTAACCTTCCTAATCAAAGACAAATGAAAGAAGCTAGACTAGAAAATACACCCTGCAAATTGTGAAATAGCTATTAAGTGTTAGGAGTGAGCATTACTATATTCATGGCAGGTTGTCAGTGGGTGGCCTTTGGAGTCCCAGAAAGGATATTATCTCTAAACTAACTAGATTGATTCGTGAATTGGGGTGAGCTTGAATTCTTCCAATATTTTCAGGCTTTTAAAGTTTTTCCATTAGGGGTCGGGTGCAGTGGCTCATGCCTACAATCCTAGCACTCTAGGAAGCCAATGTAGGAAGATCCTCTAGGTCAGCCTAAGCAAGAGCCAGACTCCAGCCTCTATTAAAAATAGAAAAAAGTAGGCTGGGTTCTAGAGGAGATGGCTGTAGTCTCAGCTACTCAGGAGTTTGAGGCAGGGGGATCACTTGAGCCCAGGAGCTTGAGGTTGCTATGAGCTAGGCTGATGCACTCTAGCCTAGGCAACTCTAGTTTAAAAAAAATTTTTTTTCTGTAAGATGACAGGTTTTATCGCTTTGCTTATATTCTTTTGAGCATGTGTACTTTCAGAACTTTCTGTGTTGGGTAGAAATAGTATAAAATAAAACCACTGCCACAAAGAGGGGCCTATGAATAGGAATTTCAGATAGTGCTTCAAAATAACCCTGGAGTCTTTGTCCAGACACATTCTGACAGTTTTATGTCTTGAACGTAGGTAATCCCTGGGCATTTTCTGTTGCTGAGAATGGTACTGTGAGAAATTAGGAAGGAATAAATCGTGATTAGGACTGAATTGGAAGTTCTGCCAAACTACTATAGTTTTTGGTGCTAGGTTTTACTTGAACAGTTTCTTATTACTAGACAGTCCACACTGGTTAAAATAAATTTTGACAGCTGGGTGCAGTGGCTCACAGGCTCATACCTGTAATCCTAGCACTCTGGGAGACCATGGTAGATGGATTGCTTGAGCTCAAAAGTTCGAGACCAGGCTTGGCACCCATAGCACAGTGGTTGTGGCGCCAGCCACATGCACTGAGGCTGGTGGGTGCCAGCCTGACCTGGGACTGCTAAACAACAATGAAAACTGCAACAAAAAAATAGCCGGCACTGTGGCAGGTATTTGTAGTTTCAGCTACTTGGGAGGCTGAGGCAAGAAAATCACTTAAGCCCCAAGAGTCTGAGGTTGCTGTGAGCTGTGACGCAATAGCACTCTACCAAAGGGGATATAGTAAGACTCTGTCTCAAAAGAAAAAGAAAAACTAAGGATCAATTGAGCCCCAAGAGTTGGAGGTTGCTGTGAGCTCTGACACCATGGCACTCTGCCCAAGGTGACAGCTTGAGATTCTGTCTCAAAATAAGAAAAAAAAATTAGTAAATAAATAAATTTTGACTTCATTCTCTGAGACCAGCAAAAGAAAATAAATCCAAGTGTTTGTTTTGTATTAGATCATTGGTGACTTAAGCTTTTTTCTTTGCCTGCTTTTTTTTTTTAAAAAAGCGGGAGGAAACACATTAAGAAAACTTAGTAACTAAACTCAGCTATCTCTGATCTTAGAACTTGAGGGTTCTCATTGGCTAGAAGGCCCTGTAACTAGGAATTTATTGGAATGCAAAAACAGCTACATTTTGGGTTGAGAAACCATAACGTGTTAATATAGAGAGAAACGACCTTTAAGTTGTGTTTTCATAGAAAGGGGACAATTTAAACGGTGGTTATTTGGGGTTTGTTTTGAGATTCCAGACTTTATTTTTATTTATTTTTTTTAACCTTCTCTGCAGATCCCAAAAGGATAATCACTTACAATGAAGCCATGGATAGTCCAGATCAATGAAGGACCAGACTGCCTATTTGCAACCTTTCTGCAGCATTAGAGCCACCGTTCATGGGGGACGCAGGCTTTTATGCTCCTAGATCTTCAACGCAGCAGAGGAACCATAAGTAGAATCACAGGATAATATATACAAATATATATATATACATATATATATATAGTTATTTAAAAAAAGGCAACTGAAAGTAATTAGACTTCTTAAGGAATCAAATTTATTTCAAGAGACTACACATGGTTATTTAATCTCCGGTACTGAATAGTTTTTGTTTTTGTTTTTTTTTTCTTTCTTTTGTTTTTGTTTTTAAGTGTGAATGCAAGTGATTAATGAATACAGACTTAACAAGTGTGGTTCTAAAGTTCCTGCTGTCATCAACTTGGGCAACAAATGACCCACTGGAAAGGCAAATCCACGTAAAAGATCTCTGTATTTTGTTCTGTGACTAAAGTGATACACTAATCACGGGGAACCCAGAATGATTCAACATTTTCCCCCCACTCCTCCTTTGATCTTTTGGTTTTACTTTAAACCCTGCGAGAATGTTGGATAAATGCCTTGAAGTTTGCAGGGGTGTATTTTTTTAGCGAATATGATTTGCATGTCTCGCCAGGAGTTAAGCAGCCTCTATGGGTTGTTAGGGGAATATTTTCTTTCCTTTTATTTTTTGTGGGGTGGGGATAAGGGAGGGCCTTGAAGTTCTATAATTCTGGAATAGTTGGTGGTACATAGTTAAACTTGGCTTTGGTTACCTATTGGACTATAACAACTGAAGAATCCATGAGTGTCATTTTTTAAAAGTTGCAGAACAAGCAATTGGTTTGGATATTCAATATGGAAAAATTTTCCTGTGCCCATATTTTAATGTAATTGTATAACTGGGAGCAAAAAATATAATCTGCTTTCCAACTGTAGGTGCTCCAGACTTGCTCTCTGTCACTAACACTAAATGTGCTGTTTCCCTTGTTTTTCATCAAACATCTAGGAGAAATTTCTGTACTTTCTGTAAATTCTCTTTTAATTTCTCAGCAAAATCTAAAAGGGGAAGAAAAATGTCCATAAAAACTAAAACGTCATGTTTTTAGCCAGTGAGGAGGTAATAAACCTTGCCTGTAGAAGGTGTGTTTTCATGCAAACTATACTTCTGAGCTTATTAGCTTCTAGTTATATCTTAATAAATATATTTTAGTACTAGAGCAAAATGGGTTTTTAAGGAAAATAATGTGAAATTCTGGAAATTTTCTTTTGGGTAGAGAAGAGCATTAGCCCTGTCTCATCATCACATTACCATCCTGTTGCACTGCAGCTTGTGTATAGCATGCTAAAATAAATTTATTTGTGTGTGTGCAGAAATTAAGGGTCCAATTAAGATTGGTATGTTAGTGGCATAATAACAAGTTGTCTGGCCTGACATAGCATCACATTACACACATACATACGCACGCACACACACACAGAAATTAGTATATCCATGTATGTCAAATACAGGTTAAAATAGCAGGGCATTTATATAAAGAGTTGTAGTCTTCTAATAAAAGTAGGCTGAATCCCCTGGGGTATGTGGGGAGAAAGTAACTACTTTTGCTCTACCCCTTTGCTTAAGGAATTGTCCAGTTTTGAGCGACTGGTAGTATGGATGGGTTTTTGTTTTTGTTGATTATTTGATACTTTTAACAAGTAGTTCATGAAAGAAGCTGTTGGACTCAACATAGAGTAGAGAAAATATCTTTTTAGTCTGGATTTCTGCCCTGCTTAGATTTTAAAAGTATAAGCATGGATTGCCAATTCCACTTGATGTAAACAAAACTTTTTTATACATAATATATATATATAAAAATAACTTATTGTTATCAGTCCAGGTTCAGAAACTTGTGGTAGGCCAGTTCCAGATAGTTTCATTTCACCTGTAAACTGTATCACTTTTACTGATATTGTAATTTTCAAATGTATAATATGTTTACAGATGTGCCCTGCATTTAGTCTGCCTTGTTCCTATTTTGATTTTTGTTGAGTCTCCTGCCTGCTTGCCAAAAGCTAGGATGCTTCAGGCCCATGTACAATTGAAAGCAGAGGCATCCTTGAGCTTTAAAGCATTGAACAAACTGGAAAATACAACATACCACATACTGAAGTGAAAAAAGTCTGTGTTTTTGTGTTTTTTAAATAAAAAATTTCAAAAAGTTAAAAAAAAAAAGATACAAGGTTGATTAAAGGGAAAAAAAGGCTCCAGTTTGTTTTACAGGTTTTAAAGTTCTGCTGTGTGTTCAATTGCCTTGTGTAACCACTTGTCGCCTTAGGGCCATATCCCCCCCCCTTTTTTTTAATGTCCATTTTGCTTGCCTGGAATTTTCTTCTGTCTCACAACTCACAAGAAACTATATGGGTTTGTGACATACAGAGGTTGAATGCATATATATTTTAAAAGGAAAAAATAAAATAAAAAACAGCCCCCATCTGAATTGGGCTTTTTAACTTAGAAGCAACACTTAAATAAATATCTTAGAAAGTTACCGCTATCTTAATTTCCTTCCATATCCCTCAGGCCTCCACGTTCAGAGAAGCCAAAAAGAGAATGTATCCCTTCTCTGTTTGTCCAAAGGTTTTTGAGAGTCTCATTTCTAAATAAAACAATGCAACATTTCACTTTGATTTCTTCACCGAAATTTTCTTGATTATATGGTTAGAGGTATATAGTTAGGAATGTCACTTAACTTTCCGGGAACCTTAGTGCCCTGTTATATTAACTGTCAGTATTTTGGGGGCATTGGGTTTAATGGACTTAATTGCCTAGTCACAAGCAGGACTTTGGGACACATTTCCTTTGTGCTGTTTGGTAACACTTAACTCTCTACTTGTTGCAATCTTTTTCTCCTTAGGTCCTCACACAATTCCTTACAGAGCACTTATTAAAAAAAAAAATCTTTAAGAGTTGATCTGTTTTCTGATTATTTTTGTGTAAGCTTCTAAACAAACTTCAGCTGTGATTAATTTAGCACATTTATATAACATTGATGTGTTACTGTTTGGTATCAAGAATTTTCCTTCAACTCGGAGTATTAGTACTGTAGCATAAACCAAATACAGTCTAGAGGGGATTTTTAACGTCCCTCCATTGTAAGACTGAAAAAGGGGTATGTGTGTACATATGTATGTATTTTGAGTGCTTGTGTGTGAGCAAAAGATGCAGGTATTAAGTTAGTAAATGAATGTGTGTAATACATTAGTATTCAGAGAATGAACTTGTATTTATTTTGTGCCATTTGTTTTCATTACACAGAATAAAGTCAGGTGGTTTAAATCCTTAAAAGGGTAGTATTTGAAAATGGCACTAAGAATGAAATCGACCTATTTTTTTAATAGCTATGAAGATACTAATTATGGGTGAAATTTTCTTTTTAAATCTGTCTTGATTGTTGTAGGCTTCTGTGTCACATACCACTCCTGTAGATGTCTTGAATAATCCCCCATTCCCACAAAAGACAGGGTGTGTTTATCTTTCTCTTTATTTGCTTCCACTTTGCTAAACTGAATTTAATTGCCTAGCCAGTCCTCTAACTTCTTTAGTAATGAACCTTCACATAAAGTATATTTATAGCATTTATAGTAGCCTTTCTTCCTCTGCTTTCTAGATGGTGATAGCTAATAATTAGGAATTTATTAATGACAGTTTGATTTTTTTTTTTTCCCTGAAATAGCTGGAGAGTTTCCATTTTAGAATTTTGCTGTCTTCCTCAATCATCTGCTTATCTAGTCATCACTCAGTCTACAAAAACTTTAGAAAGGAAAAGTGCTGCATTAAAACAGTTTTTAGGGAAAATATGACAAACCTCAACTGTGGGAGTTATCCAGTATGAAATGTTTCTTCACAAAACATACATAGGAGCAGTAGTTTCATACTTGGTTGTTAGACTTGTTGCTTATCCACATCAGAGGCATCTAATGGTTCATTTGTAATTTCTGTAAGCTTTTTTAAACACAGAAAAGCCATTTAGTGTGAAATTATATGTCATCTCCAAAACAGCCACTAGCAAGGAAATTGAAAGAGGACTTTATTCAACTTTAAATTCCACTAAATAAGGAGGGAGTCATTCTTGCAAGGCTCTGTAAGGATTATGGGTATAGTTAAGCCACTGGGCCAGTTACTCCAATAACACATTCTTCTTGTATATGTATGCTAACTGCAGTACAGGTATGCTATAGTGAGACACATATAGAATGCATAATAGTTATTATGATCAGGTTTGTTGATGTTGTACCAGTCAAGGTAGTTTCTGATAATGTCTTTTAATAGTCCTACCTGTGATTTAACTGTTCATTTTAAAGAAAAGGTAGTATCTGCTGTTCAAATGCCCTCCCCCAAAGTATTGATATGTGTTTAAAAGGGAGGGGCAAAGGACAAGACTAGAAGCATAAATAGCTACTCTAGGTTTGCCCAAGACACGTATGTTAGCATTAGTTCTTAATATTGATGTAATTTTTTGTTAATGTAATAAATCCACAGAGCACCAAGATTCTTTTATGGTAAAAAGATGGGCTTCTACTTTGATTCTGTTCAGATACATAAGAACCAAGCCCACCCTTGGTTGATTTAAAAAATGATGAATAGTTCACTCCTTTCAAAAGCACTGTTTTATTGGGTTTTAAATGAAATTTCCCCATGTTTTGCTGCTCAAGAAAGTAAAGGATGCCAGCAATAGTATGAATAGAGTTTTATGTTGTCTGTAATAAAAACACCCAATGAAGCGTGAATGGTATATTGCTTCTGCATTAGTGGGAATGTCAAATAGCAGTTAGAGGCTAGAAACTACCGGAACAACCATCTTCATATGTGTTGGGGTTCCTGATTCCAACTACCCTGTTCATCTATAAAATTTTGTTATGTCCAGAGTTCTAAGCCATTTTATAATAACTGCAGTATCCCTTTTCTACAGCCTTATTAAAATAACTACAAACATTTATTTTCCAGTTTGGTTTTATTTAAACTGTGTATCAGAGTTGTACTCTGGAGACCAACAAACCAACTTGAGATAAATTATATAGCTATCCATATACTCATCCCCCCCCCCCCCGGTGCTAATCAAAGGCTCCAAAAATGGATACTGTTTTAATAGCATCTGCTTTATTCTTAAAATGCTTAATTTTGTTAGATGTAAAGATTTCGTGTTAACAAAAGTGGTTTTAGTGTGTAAATATGAATGAATACCTTTAGTTTACCCATTTGTCTATTATTAGTCTTTTTTCATTTATCCTTAATAGAGGATCCTTTTATGATCTTGATACATTTCGCTAAGTATTATTGCATTTTAGAATGAAAATACAACAGTTTTCTGTCTTAGATTAATTCTGCTGCTGCTATGAGAAACTGAGAATCAAGAATGTGATGCACTTTTTACATTACTATATACCATACATGTACTATAGGTTGCTTTGATACCTTTCCTGTAGCACAGCCACTAACAAAAGTGAGTGAATTTTAAAATTCTCTTTGGGAGGGAATCAGTACAAGTAACTCATCCATAGTTGGTGTTGGCCTATGAAGGACAATAACTTAGGAAAATAAAAATTCTATTAATATTACACTTTTTGGCCTTAATGTCTTCTACTACTGAAAATATTTTAAATCTTAACTTTATTTCTATTACTCCCTCTGTCTCAAGAAGAGGAATTTGGAAAGAATGGCTTAAAGGAAGTAGTATCATTGGTTTGTTGCTGATCTTTTAGAAAGAAAACATTTGTTTATATAAGCTGGAGACTTTTTTTTTTTTTTTGGTTTATATACAGAGGAGAAATAATGCTGCCCTGAACCAATCAGATTTAACTTAATCAAGTCAATCAAAACTGCAACTATTCTGTTTCTGTAGTATGTTTTTACTTAGCAAAGGTAAACTTTAAGTATAGTAGGAATGCTACTTGACAATAGGAAAAGTCAGTTTTCAAGCACATACCCAAACTTGAAGGAGATTGAACCCAAAGTAATGGGGGATAAAACAACAAATGAGGTGGAGGAATATGAGAAAGATGTACGGTCCAAAGCTATCTGGTTATATTTTGATGTTGCCAATATTGCAAAGCCAAAATTTTAATTTGCTTATTTAATATATTTGTTGGCCAGAGATCTATTTTTATATCAATGTGCCTTGCATGTATATTTTAAAAAAAAATTGGAAAGGCCATGTAGTAATGCCTGAGATAGTTTGATGGTTCTTACCACCTCACTAATTTTTATGCAGTATGAAATGCTCATTCTATCGCCCAATTGGTGCTCTCTGTTTAAAGTTATAGATCTTGTCAAACTGGAACTATTTTATAAACTGGGGAAGTGATTTACTCTTTTTTGTTTCTTTTTTTGTTTTGTTTTTGTTTTTGTTGTTCTTAGTCTGTTAGTGGCTGTTAAGTAGTGGGAAATAGTAAAAGGATTCTTCACTCCCTTTTCTTCCCCCCTCAGCACCTTCAGGTAATGTGATGACACCATTTCTTGTGTGCTTTGAAAAAGTTTCAGCTTGCTGTCTCCTTTAGTGTTATTTTTAAAAGTGTTATAAAAAGCATTGTTTGCAAAACCTAGGGAGATAATGGAGTCCACTTTTAATTTGAAATTCTGTGTGAGCTATGATCCAAGTTATTGGCTCTTTCCAACTTTAAAATTTTTTATTGTTAAAGCACCTTGCTTAGAAATTTTTAAATATTTATGTCTGCAACAATTGTCTCAAAATAATAAACTGTGCAATTCTTGTCATTAAAAAAAAAAAAAAAGAACTGAACTCTCCCTAATGTGACTTGTTAGTTTTTCTGTATTTCCTGCCAGTGTAAATGTGAAAAGCTTTGCTTGCATTACGTTTTAGAAATGCATTTTGCACACTCGAATTTTGCTGAAGCTCCGTGAAAAGGTTAGATCTAAGTAGATGAATAAAGCTATGCACATGTTTTGAAAGTTTAATCTGTGTGTCATTACCAAAAGTGACCTAACTGTCCTTACTACATTGCTTTACCATCTTTGAAAACAGAGCTTTAAAGTTGTAAGTCTAGACTGGCTCATTATTGGAACTAGAAGAGAGGAAAACTGGCACCTATTCTAAAGAAGTTCAGTTTATATCAGAGCTTGTATCTATTAAAGGGCTTTCCTTGATACAGGGCAGTTTTATCAGCTTTACAAATCACTGGATGCTCTTCTCAGTGAAATACTGAAATATTCTGTTATTTGAGCAAATAGAAGTGGGAAGTAGTTATTTCAAACTGATCTTTGTCACGTGGGTCTCGGTGACAATTTTATGTCTTAAATCTGGCTGAAAGGTAGGATAACCTTTTTACCTTCCCTTCTTTAGTATAAATTTGGTTTACAAAATCATGGTTTGAAGATTAGAATCACCCAGTTGTGGAAAGATCAAAGCACAGGTTGTATGTATATCTTTTAAAAGTTTTACCCCTGGCTGATTAGACCAAGTTTAGAAATTGGACACATTGGTTCAGTCACTGCAGTCTGCATGTTGTACTGACTAGCTTTATTTCACACATATGTGTACTTAAAGATTGTGTAGAGTATTGGCCAGGTCTTGTGAAATCATCTTCTAAAAGATTTTTTTTCCCTTGTAATTTCTTCAAGACCTTATTAGAGGCTAATAAGTTTAAGTAGAATATATTACTAATGGTTTCCACTATGCTCCTAGATGTAAAAAAAAAAAAAAAATTCAATTTTATAGCTTTTCCAATGTATAGAAGTGGGTTACTATCATCAAGTTTAGTCTTGATGTATGTTACTGACTTCAAAAACACAGCAAAACTGTACCTTAATTAACAGTGGCTGTTAGAAACTTAAGTTGTCTAGTGGAAACTGGAAAGGTGGCCAATAATAATGGATGGCCTTAAAACGCAGAAGTGCAGGAGTGTAGCAAGCATTATCTTAGATGGCTGTGGCTACTCTGTCACATCTGTCAGTAGTTTGCAGTGTTCAGTCTTAGAGCATATTGGAGGAGTAATTTCTGTGTCCTGTGTACATAGGCACTTAGGAGTTGAGTTACCTCTTAATCTGAAAGAAAGAATAACTAGTGTAGTACAGTTACGTTAGAGGATTTTCCCTTCTCTCAAAAAAGAAAAAAAGTTTGAATGTTTGTTTTGCCCCCAAATGTAGGTCTTTTCTAGATATAAGAGCCCTGACCAGAAAATATACCCTTTGCTAAGTGCTTAGCTGTTTCTGATGTCATGGATTCTGAGGAAGTCAGTTACATAATGAACTTCCTTTATTGATGTCTTCATGTTCAGTGTTTTAAAAATAAAAATTACAAATACGCTACAACCCAGATTTACCTATTTTATCAGAAGAAAAACTTGAGACATTTGTAGAATCAAATTAAGAGACAAAATAAGTGTACATTGTTGAATAAAAAATTTTAAAGTTTCCGAGGTCTTTTGTGTGCTTTAATTTTTAAAAAAGTCTCTACCGAAAGCTAAGTTTAAATTGTGACATTGGTAATTTATGATTTTTTTTCAAAGGGTCACGTGCAGAGAATTTAAATCTTTAATGTACTATAGTCCTACGTCTTTTTCCTTTTTTTTTTGTTTGTTTGTTTGTTTTTGCTATAGAGCTTAGAATTAGTGTGTTTATTGAAAAATCAGCTGTGAGAGTAACTATCCTGCTTTTTTGTAAAACATTGAGCCTTAACATTCTTCTAGTGAAATAAACCAAAACTGAGCTAAGCAATTAAGCAACTAGAATGTAGAGCTGCCAAGACTCAATTTATTCATACTGTGTAGAAATATACACACTGGAGAAACCACGTTTTGTTTTTTGTTTGTTTGAGACAGTCTCAGTGTCACCCTGGGTAGAGTACCATGGCATCATAGCTCATAGCAACCTCCAGCTCTTAAGCTTGAGCAATTCCTTTGTGTAAGCCGCCGAAGTAGCCAGGCATTGTGGTGCCTGCCACAATGCCTTGCTATTTTTAGAGATGGGGGTCTCGCTCTTGCTCAGGCTGGTCTCCAAACTGTGAGCTCAAGGCAATCCACTTGCCTTGGCCTCTGAGAATGCTAGACATGAGCCACCATGCCCAGCCTCTTAATGTTTCTTAAGCACTGATTTGTCACAGGTGAAAAAAAAATGCTAACTTCAACATTATTAGAGTAGAGGACACGGAGAAAGGACATAAAAACATTTACCAAAAGTGTGTCCTTCAGTGTTGGGACTGATAATGTTTGGGTTGTATACGTTATTGGTTTTTAAGATAGAAATTAACACGACCTGGTAAGTGACTTCCAAGGACACAAATGGGAATTTGGAATTTTATGGAATGTTATGTTTAAATATTCTCAGCCGTGTAAAGCATGGTAGTTAATTCAGTCTACAAAGTTTGTTTTTTTTTTTTTAAATGACATTTATTGTGGATTTCAGCAGCTAACATTTGAAAGCAGTGTCTGTGAGCAGAACATAAAACTCATTCTATAGTGCTTAGCAAGGTCTCATGCTTTAGGAATTCTCTTACGTGGAGCTTTAATCCACTACTGTTGGATTCGGCGAATGGATTGGATCTGGGAAGTCTGGGCATGAGAACCCCACTCTCTCCAATGTTTATAGTCTCCTCCATGATGGTCACATTCCAAGATATACTGATACCCACGATATCCAGGATACTGGTAGCAAACCCAGCTAGGAAATCCAAAGCACATTGTATTATTAAAACTATTTAGGAAACTAGTGAATACCCCCAAACCTGAACTCTTAACACGATGGTGCAGTATGCTTTTAAGCTTAGAAAACAATAACCATCCTAAATGTGTCAGGCGCTGTTCATAAGCATACTATGATTATAACTACAACTAGGTGATTAACCTTGATCATGGAGAAAGGTACAAGAGTAGTCAACATAAATGCTTCCATGGAAGCATATCCAAGTGAAGAAAAATCTGCACCCTTCAGTGATAGTTGGCACAAAGAACTTGGGTTTCAAAATTACTAGTGACTGGAATGTGACATTTACACCAATGTGATGTCAGTGTGTATGAAATCTTATAAAACACAACCATTGACAGTATTCAAGGCTTGCATCTACAATTAATTTAAAATGAACTGCAACTCTATTTTTGCACTTACGCCCCACTTTGTATCTTCATGGAGCCAACTTCGTTGTTGAACCAACCCATGGCTTGCAAGGAGGGGTAGTCATCAGAGATCTCCCACTGGCGTCCAATAAAGTTTTCTTTCTCAAAGATGGTAATCTTAGACTCCTTATGATTCTGTAATCCAGAAATTGTTTGAAAACATTTATTATTAGTGTTGTGGCTATCCTAACCATATTTTTCTAAATTGAAATATTTTCTAGTTTACCAAAGGATATACATGATCGTTGATGGTAAAAAGAGGCAAGAGAAAAGGTCAAAATTTTCTTTAACCAAGTTAAATACTTAATATTTAAAATGTGCAAATAACCAGTATATTTTGCGCCAATGAAGATACAACAGTGGGAAAAAATACTTGCAACATGTAGACAACTAAGGGGTTAATATTCACTAATTAAAAAGATTTCACAGATTAATACAAAAAGCAAGTCCAAATTGTGTTTGTGTGTGTGTGTGTGTGTGAATGAAATAACTTGTATGTCCAGGAGGGGAAATGGATACTACATAAGCATTTAAAGGGGAGATACTAACTTGTATAAAGTTCAAGAACAGGCAAAACTAACCCTGATGGTGGGGGAACAATTGACTAGAAAGGGATACCAGAAACTTTATGGGGTGATGGACTTGTTCTATATGGTATATGATTAAAGTGTTGGTTACATGGGTGTATATGTTTTTCAAAACTCATGAGCATATGTACTGAAGATTTGTGCATTTTACTGTGTGTACATTTTTGGTGAAGGAGAATGAAAAAAAGGATGAAATCACTTGCAGATAGGGAATTTTTTTTAAGTTTAGAACTATCTAGGTTAACTTTGCCAGTTTAATTTTGGTAAGACTTTGAACTAAGGTGAAATCATTAGTCAAAATCATGAGAATATATAGACTATTTGGAAAGGTTCTAGCCTAGCCTTACTTGCAATATAGAAGTCAATTTTAACACATCCCTGAAGGTCATCCTGCTTCTGCTTGAACTTTTTAAAGACTTAAGAAGTGCCCCAGTCTGATGCATTATTGAATAATGGTTAGTGTTGGGAACAAAATTACGATGAATCAAAGGTAGATACTGGAAGACTGGCCTATTTACGTCCCCACTTACTAAAGGGTTACTTCAGCATCTCCCTGCTTCTGCAGTAAAATGTTACACAGATTGAAATTTAACTGGCCAAAGGTTTACTACAGGGTAACTGCTTTCACTGGTTCACTAGTGTTTGACCAGTGGATTGGGTTCTGGAGTATTGCTTCTTGCCACCTGTAAAAGACCCTTACTTTTAGCTTAATAAAGAAAATACCACCTGGTGGAGGAAAATCAAATGGCAGAGAAAGGGAAAGCACTATTTTTTTTCTCTCTCAGCATAATTGATGAGAAATGTCAATCTGCACCCTCTTGCCACATGCCTTACATGCATAGAAGTAGAATTTGTATTTAGAGACTCACAGCTGAACAGATGGGGCGAAAGGACATGAGACGCTCAATGTGGTAGGCATTACTCCCACTCCAGGCATCCCAGCGAGGGTATTCTCCTCTCTCCAGGACAAACTGTTGGCCGCAGAAGCTGGTATGCTCATAGCCAACCCAGCTGCCAAAGACATGTAGTGCTGTTTGTTCATGGTGTTCAAAGCCTATATACCCTCAAGGAGATGACATCTTACGTTTTAGGTAAGTTAATTGTGGGTAAAATACCAAGCCAATCCCAGTAAAGCTGTACAAAGTAATAAATTTACCACAAGAGGTAGGGAATGAGCTGGCAGCTACACTAAGGAGACTGGTAAAGGTAATATTTAGTTTCCGGATTATCCACCAAAAGGGTCTATCTATTTCATTGGCCC